TTTTTTGGGGCTGTGTTGTTTGTGTACAGCATGTGCAATTTTTTTTTTTTTGCTCTCCTGAAGTCCTCCAAAGGTTTTGTGCTGCCATCTTTTTTGTATAGACCTCTTTGAGGTTAGTTTAGGTGGTTGTTTTGGATTGTAAATCCGTGCCTTTCTTCTTGTTTTTTCTTCTATTTAATTTAATTTCCTTACTTTATATTGAATAATAAAAATGGGTTTAAAATTTCCAGGTTCATCTTTTATTTCTGATCTGAGCATGATGTCAATATGCTGATGTCATCGGTCCAACCGACCAATTGACCCGCAACTCGATCATCTTACTGGGTCTCTCATCGGGTTGGTTTGTAAAATAGTGGTTCCCATTAGGTATATAATGGCATATACTTTTTCCTGGTGGTTTTAGGAAGAGAATTGCCTCAATAGAGTAAGGGAGTGCACTTGTTGGGTTGGGTTGGGTAGGTTAAGGAAATAGAAAAAAAAGAAAAAAAAAGAATCTGATTAAAAGAGATACTAAAGTAGGTCAATATTGATTCAAAACTCAGGCCTTACCATCTATGAAATCTGAAATATGACTTGTGAAGAAAATTGGAAGTTGAGGTATGTCAAGTGGTGACTAAGTTGTGACTTGGGTAGTGTTTGGCGCTAGTGCAAGGCAGATTGAAGTTTTGAATGGGACCTTTTGTAGTATGATTGGTTTATAACTATGTTGGTCTGGGTTGGTTTATTCATGTTTTTTCTTAAAGCCGAAAACTAGCCTGATTACTTCAGTTTTTCAATAGAATAACTGATCAGGAATCTGGTTGGGATGATCAGATTGGTTTATTTGATAAAAGTGTCCATCCTAATTTTGAATTCACTATTTTAAAAGCCGGACCAGACCGTTTAGTTTGACCTATTCGACTGGGACCCGATCTTAACTCCAATCCTGGTTAATATAAAAACCGGAAATAATATGAAACCCACTTTAGACCGGCAACAGATCGGATGAATAGTGTCAACCCGCTAGTCAGATCGGGCTGAGGCTTAAACCGGTTCACTAACTAGCAAATCTAATCCCTAAAAACCAATTCCTAAACCTAATTTGCTTCATTTCATTCTTCTCTTCTTCAAACTGCAGCTTCCATTTTCATCTCCAAAGTGCAGCATCCACTTTCATCGTGACTTCGACAGTACTGGCACCACGCGAGTAGGGAGAACGAACTCATCAAGGTCAATTTTTCTTTAAGTTCAAAGACTAGGGCTGCAAAAATTCGGTTAACCGAACTGGATACATGCTTTTTGTAACCGAATTGATTTTTTGGTTCAAGCTGTATTGCAAACTGAAACCGGTCCGGATTTTGCATAAACCGGTTTGCAAACCGATCCAGATTTTTAGTTACCGGTTTTATTAATAAATTTTTTAAAATACATTACAGTCTCTAACTAACTCCAGCAGATACAATAGTCTGCTTCTCCCAAATTCATCCAAAGCCCCCACACGATTATATAATATATGCTTCTTACTGTGGAGTTCTTGAAGGAAATACCAATTTGAAATCCAGATACCCAATTAAAAGCATCTACTTCACACTTATTTCAAGTGTGAAATACGGTAAAGAGTATGAGCAATTGTTGGCGATTCATTACCCTAAAAAGCACTCAAAGCGTGCATCATTGTCATAAAAAATCAATAATTTTATTTAAAAATTTTAAAATGATACCATTTAAGTTCTTAAAGATTTCTTATCTGTAAGGGGCGGGGGTGAGTGGGAGGAGAAGATTACATATGATAATCCCATATATTGCGGCTGAATAGTGAATACTTCAACAAGGAACAAAAGATGCAAGAATAGTAAATAAACTGAAAATGCCGAACAGTGCATAAAGAGCACCAACATATCTGCACTTTGCTGAGGATTGATTCCTACACCATCTGCATATAATAAACAATAAACTCCAACCATAATCACATTGATGTAAAGCCAAAACAACTTCCCCAGCTGCTAAGGTTGCACCATGGCGCGTGCATAAAGAAGAAGACGGAGAAAACAAGCGAGTTTGAGAAGAGAGGACGGGAGGAGGAGAGACGAGTAAATGTAATGAAGAAGAAGACGAGTTTGAGAGGGCAGCGGCGGCTACTGGAGTTTGAGAGGAGTATGGAGTGTGAAGTGAGGGATTCAAACTAATAAAGATAATAAAGATTTTTAAAAATTAAAATAATATTATTATATTAGGATTATAGGAAAACCGGTTTATTAAACCGGTTACAAAAATTAATATAAATGGTAAACCGAATCGAAAAACCAATTTAGTCATTTTTTGAAACCGAAACCGGTTAACTGGTTTTTCCGTCCGGTTTCAATTCGATTTCTCAGTTCGGTTCGATTTCCGGTTTTTTTTTTTTTTTTTTTTTGCAGCCCTATCAAAGACAGAGTAACAAGCAGAGAAATAAACAGCAGAACACCCATCCAACATCAATAGCTTTTCGGATTTTTCTTTGTGCTGCTGCCTAGGTCTATTCCCCTATTGGTTGAGAGTTTTCTGTTTGGGTCTGCTGGTTGTATTGGCTTTTCCCCTCAGCTTCTTCTTCTTTTGCGTGTCTGGAGTCTTCAGTCCTGTAGCTTTCTGCTCTTGATTCACGCAGTTGTGGTGCTGGTCTTTGCGTTTGTTGGGGGCTGCAATTCTTTGCGGATTTTTACCGTTGTGGTGCCAGGATTTGGGTGCTTTTCAGGGTGCTGGAATCTTCTCTGCTATTGGAAATCTGCAGTTGTGGCTTTGGGATTCCTTCGGTTTGGAGATGCAATCCTTTGCTAGAGTTTGCTTTTGTGGTGCTGGTATTGGGCTCTTTCTTGGGGGCTGTGTTGTTTGTGTACAGCATGTGCAGTTTATTTTTGTTCTCCTGAAGTCCTCCAAAGGTTTTGTGCTATCATCTTTTTTGTATAGACCTCTTTGAGGTTAGTTTACGTGGCTGTTTTGGATTGTAAATTCGTGCCTCTCTTCTATTTAATTTAATTTTTTTACTTTATATTGAATAATAAAAATGGGTTAAAAATTTTCAGGTTCATCTTTTATTTCTGATTTGAGCATGATGTCAATATGCTTATGTCATCGGTCCAACCAACTGGTCCAACCGATTGACTCACGACCCGATCATCTTACTAGGTCTCTCATCGGGCTAGTTTTTAAAACAGTGATTTTGATACTTTTATAAGGGGTGCTTTATTATAATAGGAGGGTTTCAAGAGGATATTAATACTTTCTTATAACCAACCCTAAATATCTTAAATGTGTTTTGACATTTAATATTAATCGATCTTATAGGAACCGTCAAGGTTGAATAGGCCAATGTTCTGAAAACCGGATCGGATCAATCCAGCCGTCAATCGGCCTTTTTTTAATCCAAGATTTCAATTTTACTGTTCATTCAAATCTTTAATTTGATCTCTGGCAAAAGAGGGGCTACCAAGTGCCGGAGTTAGAGAGCTTTTGTAGAGTAGAGAACGGTGGTTCAAGGGGTAGTCTTGGATTGAATTTTCGATGTCGGAATTTGGCCAGAAAATTCAACCCAATATGGGAGTCACAACTTGCGAACGGAGGGTTACCAAGTGTCGGGGTTAGAGGGGTTTTGTAGAGTGGAGCCCGGTGGTTTAGGTGGTGGTGTTTGATTTAATTTTGGAGGTCGGAATAATCCAGAATTTGGCCGGAATAATCAATCGAATTGCGACGATGTTCGTGAGTCACGGTTGGTGAACGGAGGGCTACAAAGTTCTAGGATTAAAGGGGTTTTGTAGAGTGGAGGACGATGGCTCAGGTGGTGTTGTCGAATTGAATTTTGGCTGTCAGAATTAGTCAGAATTTGGTCGAAAATGTCAAAACCCAAACAGATCATAGGGGTATATTTACTATATTTCAAACTAGTAGGGACTAAAGGAGTTTTCAGGGGTGTGTTTGTAAGAATTTAAACTTTTTGTGCCATCGTTTCCAGCCATTCAGACTGTGAACCAGGACCTTGACTCGGTCAAGGCCCAGACCGATTTTCAGAACATTGGAATAGGCTAGGACACTTAACCATAAGTGGAGTAGCCGTAACTCATATTTCATCAAAAAAATAAAAAAATAAAAAAAAATAACCCACTACTATATAACATTAAGAATGAAAACCAACAACCTTGCCAGAGAGAGAAATGATTCTCATTGCAGTTTCTTGAATGATGTTCTTTTTCATCCTTGAGGTCTCTCCCAAACCTTTCAGTAACTAGCAAATTGCCAGTTTTATAGTGATTGGCTACGCACTCCTCCAGTTGACATTCATGGCTTAAGTTATGGCAGGCAAGAGAGTTACACAAATCTCTTTTACAAGACCTCTTGTTCTAGGATGAATACTTTACAGCTATTTTTCTTTATTTAATCAAATCTAATATCAATTATTTATTTATTAATATAATTACTTTTTTATGTCAATATGCATTAATTAGTTACCATTTTATGAATTCCAATATATGTATTCACCAAAATTATTTCCTCGAATGGCAAGAAAAAGACTTACCATTTTAAGATACGAGCCTCTGCTAGTTATTGAAATGCTTGGTGAGAGTCTTAGAAACCTGAAACCCGAATAATGACTTTATAGTTTGAAGTGACAGAGATTCTAAGAAAACTATATAATCTTGAAATGAAATAAAAACATTAAATTTATACTGTAACCACATTTGGACATGTTGGCAAGTTTCCTTCTAATTAATCGCAGAAATATTTCTTCACCTTTTGAAGTCTATGCTACCTGGAGATTCCAGATTATGTTTAAGATATTAGCCTAACATTCCAACAATCTGTAATGCATATATATAGAATGATATTAAATACCCAATTTACCATAAATATATGACTGACATTTCCTCCTTAAATAAATTTTTTTATTAGCTTAACCATGGGGTAAACTTCTCCAGGATCATATTTTGTTTATACAAAGCTGTAAAATGAAGTTTCTTCAATGTGTTTTTTGTTCATGTATTTTACTCTTGATGACTTGGCACTTGGCACTAGCAGTGGCAGATAGTATGATTTATAAAATTCCTGAAAATAAGGCAGCAAGTAATTGTGAAATAACAGTTGATCAGTCAGGCCACGGCAGTTTTTCCAGCATTCAATCGGCTATAAATGCCATTCCATCAAACAACAGCCGGTGGATTTGTATCTCCATCAAGGCTGGCATATACAGGGAGAAGGTGAAAATTCCTTACGATAGGCCATATATAATCCTTAAAGGAGAAGGCCAAAGAACGACTCATGTTATTTGGGGCGATCATCAATCAGTTGCAGAGAGCCCCACTTTCACTTCTGCGGCTGATAACGTCGTCGTCAAGGAAATCAACTTTGTGGTATTAAGGCCTTATAAGATTATCCATCTTTATAATGTTATTGAGTTTCTAGAGTAATTCTGTGGTTAATACTCTTGATCATACTATACTTAACAAAAACTACTATAACAGAACGTTATAACTAGAGAATTTCTGTTTTTATGTATATGTGCAACAGAACTCGTATAACAGTCCAAATGGTAGAAACAAGAATCCCAGGACACCGGCTGTGGCTGCCATGATAGCCGGAGACAAGAATTCATTCTATCAATGTGGGTTCTCAGGTGTTCAAGACACTTTGTGGGATGATCAAGGTCGCCATTACTTTGATCACTGTACCATTGAAGGCGCTGTTGATTTCATCTTCGGTACTGGCCAGTCCATTTATCAGGTACCTATTATTTAACTAATGTAGTTTAAATGACAAATGAAATGACTCTTGAAAATGCTCCTATTTTTTGAGACATTTCCAAGAGCCTTCTTTTCTCAAACCTATTGTTAACATTTTGAGAGCAGAAGTCTTAATTTTTCCTACTCTAACCCTTTACTATCTTTTATGTTATTTCCGAGGAGATTTTTTGTTACCTCGGAATTGATTTCATTTCTGAGATGTTTTTATCTCTCTCGGAAAAACATTGCCGGAAATAGGCATTTTTTGCTCTAATATATACACGTTTGACATACGTTAGTCAAGTCTTGTAAGATCTATAACTCATTTCTATCCGATCTTAATTGATGGTTTTCATGTAGAGTTGCGTGATACATGTACTTGGAGAAGCTTTAGAGACAGGATTTTCAGGTTATATAACAGCACAGGGAAGAACAAATCCAAATGATGCAAATGGGTTTGTGTTCAAAAATTGTCGTGTGTATGGAACAGGTTCAGCCTTATTGGGAAGGGCCTGGAGGGGCTATGCCAGGGTCATTTTCTACGATTCTGAATTAAGACAAGTTGTGAGTCCAGAGGGCTGGAATGCTTGGAATTTTCGTGGTCATGAGTAAGTTTACTAATGTATTATTTTTTTTATTTTTTTTTTTTCAAAATGGAAAATGAGACAGGATACAGGATTAATTTTGTGGTTAAATTATGTATATATATATATATATGATGATCAGGAATCAGTTAACGTTCGTTGAGTATGGATGCTATGGAAAAGGAGCTGATACCTCTGGTAGAGTGAAGTGGGTGAAATATAGCTTGGAAAACATGAGGGAACTGGTTAGTATTAATTTCATTGATAATGAAGGATGGCTAAGAAAGCAACCCAGTTAGGCTCATCAGATTGCTGCCTATAATGGTGAAGGTTTTCTCCTTTCATGGCTCCATCGAATTGACCATTTGAGGAAGAAACCTATACTAGAAGATTGTTTGTTTATGCTACAGAGATTAAAATTTTATATGTTTGCAAATGTGAGCACATCTCAAGTCAAATGAATATGTAAAGGCCCTACCAAAACACGAGGGAAACTTTCTTATTTTCTGCAAAGTTAACTACTTCAATGATATCAAGACAAAACACATCTTGTTTTTTCTTCTTCTTCTTCTTCTTCTTCTTGTTATATAACGCCATGTTTTAAAAGTCAACCCGGTCAGGTGACCATGTCCCTGGTTGTCTGACCAATGGGTCAAACCGGTGATATCATCATGCTTTACAGATTCTTTATTTTCCAATTTTCCTGAAACATTTTGCTTAGTTAATGGCAATAATCTTTTGTTTCTTTATTTCCCAATTTTTCTCAACTATTCAGATTCAGTTTCAAGTTAAATAGATTAACCAGGGCTGGACAAAACATTCCGCTACCTAGATTTGATTTACCCTTTTTCATGGTTTCCATAGTGAAAGATGCATTGGCTTCAAGAATCAAACTTTACAGAATACCCAGAAAGGAAAATCAGGTAAAGTTTATCAAAAATAAAAATTTCGCTTTTTAAGTCCCATCTAAAACAAACCCAGGAAACAAAATAAAGGACTCGAACCCAGATCAAGAAAGCCCTAAAAATAAATGTTTTCAGGAACCCATCTACGAGAATTCCATTTAGAGAAAAAAGCAAACCAGGAACGTTTACACAAGTGAGTCAGCGGATCAAATTCAACACATTTCAGGTGAAAATTCACTGAAATTAAATGCCCCAGAAAGGAAGAAAGTCAAACCCCACAAAGGAAGAAAGAAAGAGAGTCAAAGTCTAAACCCTAGACCACAAAACCCAGATCCCAAAATTTACAGAGAAACACACACAACGAACATGAGATCACTCTGAAATTGAGTGTATAAAAAAAATGGTTCGATAGAAAATAAAAGAAAAACTATTTTACATACAATTTAAAGGATACTTCCATTAACTTGGAAGCATCAACTCCTCAACCAACAAACAGATCAATACAAAAGTAAAAAAGATCGAAGAAGAAAAACTAAAGAAGCTGAATATCAAAATTTGATTGTGAAAGAACTGTGGTCGATCGAAGAAGAGATGAAGTTTGACCGTGGAAGATCGAAGAAGAAGATTGTGAAGAAGCCGTTGATAAAATGAAATTGAAAAGGGTTTAGTGATTTAGAATTTTATAATTACGGTTTACATAATTCAGTTATTCACATCACCATGTTCACTTATTTCAGTTCCCATTACTCTTTACGCCAAAAATGGTAAAACAAAGAGAGAAACACTTCCTTTTCATGTGCCCATCATAAGATTTTATAAAAAATGTAACTCTTTGTTGGAGTACACAATATCTTGCCTGGTATCTATATTAGAGTCTCTTCTCAGCAGGTGCCTCGCAGCAATGCTATGTCTGATTTCCCAGTTATTCATTGCCTCTGTGGACTTCAAATAAAATCCATTATTACTCTACTGCGCATGACTTTGTAGCAGAGAGACTGCATTACAGAGACCATATATCACTGCTTTGATGCTTCCAAAACTTTTGATTTGTAATCTCATTTCTGTTTTAATGATGATGATTATATGCAGGCTACCTCAGAGTCTATAGATGTGCTCAATTACCTCGGAAATAGAATATCCTCAGCATTCCAGGAATTTAGAATTTGTTGCTGTCTATTTGGTATTATGTGTTGGAACACTAAGATAGAATTTAGTATTCTTGAAGTCATCCAGAAGGGGGTTGTATCCATCCTTCGTTCTTGTCTTTGCAGGCAACCCGAACTCTTCCATGAATGAACATGTATCGAGCTACATAAAAAAAAATATAAATTTAAGCAAATCATACGCAATTCTGACCAGAAAATGCTAAACTATGCATGCAATAAAGAAAATGCCCCACATTAGCAATTTAAATATTATGGTTGTCACTTTGAAGAGCATTTAATATAAATATAATTAAATTAAATTAATACAACCAGTTGTCTGCAATACAGTTGGATTGAGAGACAGCTATAGAAAATTTTATGAATTTAAATTTGCACATCTCTCAGAAAGTATTGTTTATGCATGCATTATTTTAGTCAATATGGCATTGTAACGCAACTCCTGAAAAGACAGCCCTTCATCCATGACCATAATATAATAAAACTGATATGTGTCCCATCCCTATTAAAAATTGGTAATTTACAAAGGGCTGACTGTCAAAATTTGACACAAAATCTTTTTGTATCAAACACAGTTTCTCGATACTAAGAGTTGGATCTCAATACTAGTTGGATTGATAAAGCGGTGAGAGTTTTGATCATCGCTTGATCTATGTTGGAAACTATGTGTATATATATAGTGTAAAGGGTAAAGGGTATATTTGTAATTATTTAGTGTGTGTATATATTTGAGTTAGGGTGTACTGTTGACATTTAAGCGAAAGAGAGAAGTTTACATGGTATCAGAGCCTGAAACGCATAAACCCTAAACCCATTTGCGTGATTCAGTTTTCCGGCGAGTGCTAGCTTCTTCCCTGGGTTTTCCGGCGACATCACCCCCTTCCCTTGCGTTTTCCGGCGATGTCAGACCCCTCCCTTGCGTTTTTCAGCGACGTCAGACCCTTCCCTTGCTTTTTCCGACGACGTCTGACCCCTCCCTTGCGATTTCCGGCGACGTCTGACCCCTCCCTTGCGTTTTCCAGCAACGTCAAACCCCTTCCCTCTATTTTCCGGCGACGTCTGACCTTTGTGTCTATTTTCTGGCGACGTGTTTCTGTTTTCCGGCGACGTCTGACTCTGTTCTTCATTGTTTTCCTTTTTTTTCCAGCGAGTGCTGATTCTGAGTGTTTGTTCTCTTCCCTGATTGTTGGTTTGATACAGAAAATTTTTTGCATGTCTTTTGTTAGAAATATGGCTCTGTGTTTGTGTGAACATGGGAATGCTTTGTGTTGGCTTGGAGTTGAAAATGTGATACCAGAGTTGTTTTGAATTCTGGTGGTTTGAGTTGTTGTGCTTGCTTGGGTTGTTTGGTGTTGGGATTGTTGGGAATCGGTAGAATTGTTCTGTTTGCTTGGGTTGTTTGGTGTTGGGTTGTTGTGAATCTGTGGAGTTACGAGTTCTTTGCTAGACAGTATGGCCGCGGACGGTAAGAAGATGGTGACTGAAATTGTCACTTCCTTCACCAAAATTACTGATAGAAAATTATTGAAAAAAAAAATTATATTCAATGGAAGCGGATAATTCGACGATATGTGTCCAGCATTGATATGGGAGACCATTTAATCGAGGATCCACCTAAGGAAACAGAAGATGATAATAAAACTCGAAAAAGATGGCTCATGGAAGATGATAAGCTCTTCAATCAGATTCAGAACACTCTTGATTCGTCCGTGGATGATGTGATTGGTCACTGTGATACAGTCAAGGAGTTATGGGAGTATCTAGAGTTCTTGTATGCTGGTAAACAATACTTGTCTCATGCCCACGAATTGTTATTAAAGATATATCGAGCAAATATGCAAGAGAAGACATTGCTCGAATATTATACAGAGATAAAACAAGCCTTTGAAGACAAATGGTATGTGTGGCTGTCCTATGACGGGAAAATGATGCAAGAACAAGAAGAACAGGTGGTTGTGCAATGTTTTATGGCTGGGTTGAAACGGAATATGAGATAGCTCGTACACAATTTCTTACCGGTGAGACACTTCCCTCTCTTAAGGAGTCTTGCTCGCTTCTCAGAGTTAAAAGGGGAAGATCGAGGAGTGTTTAAGGACAAAGAAACCCTCAAGGATCCTAATGGTATCATGTGGCCCTAGCTAGGCAGTAGCACGAAGTCTGGTGATAGCAAAGGTAACAAAGGGACAAGTCGTGATCCTAGGAACAATCATGGTAATAGCCCTCGTACTTGCTTTCACTGTGGTGCTAAGGGTCATGTAAAGAAAAATTATTGGAAGCTTCATGGCAAGCCCCTGAATATGCAAGACACTCAGAAGTTTGCTCATGTTGTAACTAAGATGGTCTCTTACCCATCCCATCACAGGTTACTATCTCCGCAGCAAAAATTGCTCGTCTCACATCAGAATTCTTGCTCCCAATCCTCCATCCCATCGACCACCACTACTTTAACCCAGTTAGGGAATCCTCAAACTGCTTGTCCACTTCTAGTAGTAACTGGGTCATTGATTCGGTGCTACCACCATATGACAGGCGATACAGGTATTCTATCCTCATTCACCTTCTCCCAATTTGTCGTCGGTTACTTTACCTAACGGGTATACTGTACCTACCATTGGATGCGGTACAGCCCATCTCAACAAATCTATGTCTCTTCCTCTGTCTTGTGCCCTCCAATTTTCCCTTTAATCTTTATCAATTAGTCAAATACTAATGCATTCAATTGTGGGTGTACTTTTTTCCTACTCAATTGTATATTTCAGATCTTAGGACGAGGCGGATTATTGGTAGAGGCCGTGTATCAGGTGGCCTGTATATGCTGTATATGCTCGATGAGTCCCACTCCTGTCTCTCAACCGTTGCGTGTACCAGTGATTCATCTCTACCCATACTGCATGGTCGTCTTGGTCATCCTCCCCTTCCCATTTTGAAAAGACTGTGTCCTAATGTAGGGTCAATGTCACACCTTGAGTGTGAGGGTGTCAATTTGGAAAACACCATAGAGTGTCCTATAGCCCTAGGATAAACAAAAGAGCCACAACCCCTTTTGATGTTATACACTTGATGTTTGGGGTCCTTGCCCTGTGTTGTCAAAGTCTGGGTATCTATATTTTGTTATTTTTGTGGACGATTTTTCACGTATAACTTGGTTGTACTTTATGAAAAATCGTTCTGAAATATTCTCCATTTTGTACCTTTTATGCAAAAATACAAAATCAATTTACTCATCTATTAAAATTCTCAAAAGTGATAATGCCAAAGAATATTTCTGCTCCTTTCTCTTCTTTTGTCTACTAGAGGTATTATTCATCAATCATCATGTGTTTATACACCTCAGCAAAATGGAGTTGCTGAACGCCAAATCGTATTTATAGAAGTCGCTGTACTCTCCTTTTTCACATGAAAGTCTCTACAGAATTTTTGGCAGATGCTATCTTACAGCATGTCACTGATCAATCGCATGCCTTCTTCGTTTTGGGTGGTCAAATCCCGTTCTCCATCCTTTTCCATCACAGCCTTATTCCCTCTTCCTCCTAAAGTGTTTGAGTGCACGTGCTTTGTTCAAGATGTTAGACCTCATGCACCCAAATTTGAACCTATGTCCCTCAAGTGCATATTCGTGGGTTATTCCCGATATCAGAAGGGTATCGTTGTTTTTCTCCTGTCCTAGGTAAGTACCTTATCTCAGCTGATGTTTCCTTTTTTGAAACCACTCCATATGTTGAGTCATCCACCTCATCTACTTCTCTTGAAGCACCCCCTGATGATCTTTGTTACCACATTACCCATCATAGTCCTCTACCATCTATCCTCATCACCCAGGTATACTCTCGCAGGGTTCACCAACACCATGAGACACCTGCAGCAACATCTAATCCACTGCCCCTATCGACTGCCTCGTCCTCTGATTCGGTTCTCCATCCTCTGACCCTGATCATGATCGGCATGCTCTTCGTAAAGGTAAGCGCTCTTGTACCATCCTATCTCCTCATTTGTTTCCTATCACTCTCTGTCTTCATCTTCCAAGTCTTTTATTGCCTCTTTAGACTCTGTGCTTGTTCCCAACTCTGTGTCTGAAGCAAGCTCATGATGGGTGGCGACGGGCTATGGAAGAGAGATGTTGGCTCTAGAACATAATGATAAATGGGTTCTAATGGGGTTGCCAAAAATAAAAAGGCTATTGGGTGCAAATGGGTTTTCACAGTGAAGGCTACTCCCGATGGGATGTGGCTCGGTTGAAAGCTTGTTTGGTTGCTAAAGGTTATGCCCAGACGTATGGTATTGATTATTCTGAGACATTCTCCCCAGTGGCTAAAATGACCTCTGTCCGACCATTATTTCTCTTGCAGCTTCATATCGTTGGCCTCTTCACCAACTTGATGTAAAAAATGTCTTTTTACATGGTGATCTTCTTGAAGAGGTTTACATGGAGCAACCTCCGGGATTTGTTGCTCAGGGGGAGTCAGGAAAGGTATGCAAACTGAGGAAATCTTTATATGGCTTAAAGCCTCTAACGGGCGTGGTTTGGGAGGTTTAGCGAAGTGGTGACTCAATCTGGTTTACATAGGAGGCTTATGATCACTCTGTTTTATAAGCAATCGAGTTTTGGCATCATTCTTTTGATTGTTTATGTCGATGACATTGTAATCAAGGCAGTGATGATGTTGGCATTCAGAGTTTGAAAAACTGTTGGCTTCCAAATTCACACAAAGACTTGGGTACTTTACGGTATTCTCGGAGTTGAGGTCTCTCGGAGTAAGAAAGGGATTTTTCTCTCTCAACGCAAGTATGTGTTAGATGTGTTGACCGAAAGGGTCTAAGTGAGGCTAAGCCTTGTGACACACTCATGGTTCCTAATGTAAGATTGAATGCTGAGGATGGAGAGATGTTTGGTGATCCAGAGATACAGACGGATAGTTGGAAATTAAACTACCTTACAGTAACCGTCCAGATATTGCGTTTTCAGTGAGTGTGGTAAGTTAGTTTATGTCTTCTTAGACATCTCATTGGGATGCGGTCCTCCATATTTTGAAATATCTAAAAGGAGCCCTGGACGTGGGATTCTTTACAGTGACATGGTCATAATAAGGTAGAAGGTTTTTCAGATGCGATTGGGCAGGATCCTCTGTGGATAGCGGTCTGTGACTGGGTTTTGTGTTTTGTGGAGGAAATCTTATTTCTTGGAAAAGTAAGAAGAAACCAGTTGTAGCTAGGTCAAGCGCAGAGTCTGAGTATCGGGCTATGAACAAGTTACGTGTGAGCTCATATGGACAAGACATCTTCTTAGGAAATTGGGTTTGATGACCCAAGGACTATGGACTTGTGGTGTGACAACCAAGCAGCCATACATATAGCAAACAATCCAGTCTTTCACGAGAGGACACGCTATAGAAGTGGATTGTCACTTTGTACGAGAGAACTTGAACAAAAGTTAATTGCTACTAATCATGTTAAAACAGGGGAACAACTAGCTGACATCTTCACGAAGTCTTAGTTGGTAAAAAGGTAACTTATTTTGTAACAAGCTGGGCATAATAATATATACTCCAGCTTGAGGGGGAGTGTTGGAACTATGTGTATTATATATAGTGTAAAGGGTAAAGGGTATTTGTAATTATTTAGTGTGTGATATATCTGAGTTAGGGTGTACTGTTGACATTTAAGTGAAAGAGAGAAGTTTACAATCTAAAACAAGCAAACCAGTATAGGATAGAATTTGTTAAAATTTAATGGTCTTCACTATAAGCAAAATAAACTTAACCATAACCAAAATGAACTTACTGTAATTGTTCGCCTCTTCTTCCCTTGTTTAGATGATTTATCTTTCTGCATTTTCAGCCACCCGGAGCAATAGTGATCAATGCGTTCCAAAAGCCAAAAATCTGTGGGGAAAAAGATATCAGCATCACCCTGCAATGGAAAGCAACCAGAATCATTAATGAATTTTAATGGTCCTTTTCTGGCCCTAGGTTTCCACAAGTTCTTGATAAGATGGAACAATGTAATTGTCAAGTGAACTTATTTGCCAACTGGACTTGAGAATTGAGATAACATGGCAAGGTCCTTTTTCTGGTCCTCAGTTTCCATAGGGACTATACTGACCATTATACTTCAGCAATGTCATCTGGCCTCTTCTTAATCTTTTCCCATAGGTTGCAATTGTAAATTCATAATTTGTAGCATGATATCCAGTAAAAAGAGAGGAGAAAAAAGCACAGCTAGCAATTAATATTATCGGAGACATTCAAGGCAACTAAATATGAACATATCACAATAGTAATTGAGTATAGAAATAGCATACCTTTGCATCCAGGTAATTGCTATAATCTTTGCTGCGACCATCTTTCTGCATTTCAGAAGATGAATTAGGTCAAAAACTAAATTGCTAGAGCGTTATGTTTGATATGCTTTCCCTACTGTGTCCAGCAGGATACTAAGAACCAAATTATGATGCTAAAAGCTTACAGCTGCATTTCCAATTTTTGCATGGGGGTAAAAATATGAAGGTCCTACCATAAGAGCAATAGATGCATACATCCTGAAAATATGGATATTGAAGTTATAGCACTGTATACATAAAAGATTTAATTTTGTAAATCCCATACTGTTTAGTTATATTATAATGACAAAATGGTACTCATCATAATATATTTGCCACATAAATGTTTTTGTTTTGTAAATTTTGAATTTCATAAATGGATAGTGACTGATATACCAAAATCTAAGATAGAAATGAATAGTTGCAGGTTAAGGAAATGCTACCAAAGTATGGTTGTTGAAGCTAAAGCAGATATACAAGAGAAGCAAAGCTAGTCTAGAATGCCACAGGATAATCAGCTAAAGAACATTTATCCTTTTTCTTCCTTAATTAAGTATTCACGCTTTGCAAGTTGAACAACTAAATTACTTTGCATTATAACACATTATATAAACTTTATCTCATAGCCTAGCCATCATTTAAACCATAATACAAAGACCAACACACAGGTGTTTTAACAAGCATGTAAAGAACATACCTTGGTTGAAACCAGTGGAGCTCTTTCACCAGGTACCTTCACATCAGGCAGGAAACTAAAGTCTGAAGCAATTAAAGACATCTTTGGTACAGCCTCATGTAGAACATCAAGTAGTTTCTGCACATGAAAGAGCATTATTATTTCCATTTTCAAATATTTGAAAAAAAAAAAAAAAAAAAATCCCATTGTATATGTAATTCTTTATGTACTTTTGCTCAGTATTAAATAAAAAAAAAAATGAAAGTTCAAGAAACTGAATCAGTTAAACCATTTACTTACCAAACAACCAGTTGGAAGCCAACATCTTCGAGGTTTTGGAAAGACTTTAGACCAGATGTTCGTTAGCAAGCTGCTGCTTTGAGTAGTATGAGATTTGTCGAATTCCATGATCTCAATACAACGTGTAATTAGAGGGTCATTTAGCGGCTTATACAACTCAGAGAGTGCTTCCCTATAAATGGAGAAAACATGAGTCATTTAAGATTAAATTCAAGTTGCATCAGAGCTGATAGTACAATTGCAACACTTTATTAGCAGTCACATCAACAAATTAGATATAGAATCATTAAATCAAGCCTTGATACCCTTGTGAACCTTAAAAAATTACGATATATAAATAAGTAAAAGAATACTAGAATTATTATGCAAAAACTTTTGTGAAAATTGGATAACCCTTCTAACTTTCCACAGATTTGATATAGGAGTCAATGACATAAAACCAAACAAAAACTAAGTTGGTCAACTAATCAGCAAAAGGAAATCGTAACTATTGAAAGGGCCCTTTATTCATTCTCTTCTATGTAAGCTAGGTCATCTTGAAGTGGTCAATAATCAAGGATTGAAATCAAGATTTTCAGTTGACATGCACACATTGACAAAAGTATAGATTATTGTAAGAAGTATAACACTCATATCAAGAAGGCTGATATGAGAATCCACTGGATCTCTAATGATAGTCATTTTCCAATAAAGTACACAAACAGCAACAAAGGAATCTAGGGGTTCAACCAGCACAGTATTCCCTACCTATCATGTTGCTTCTCAACCCATACTTCCAGCCAAGGAGAAACTTGATTTTCTGAATAGATAAGATCATGTGGAAGATTATCAAGCACCTGCAAGGATTTATATCTACAATTGGTTATTAAGTACAGCAATATCAAGTAAATTCCACGTTTAACACAACTCGGATCTTCATTTGTCGCTATACATGGTTTAATTTTTTGGACATTACATGTCAGGCTAATACATCAGTTTAATCAAAACATGCAAAATGTTCCTTAATCAGTAAACTATTCCAGTATGTCAATTGACAGAATATTTATGCATAACATATACTCTTTCTCTATCAGTACTCTGTCAACAAACTTGAAGCTTATACCTCAAGCATTATCACCCAACATGGTTGTTGCATCACATCCCCTGTTACAAAATCAATGAAAAGAAGCTTTAATTTTTAACTCCCAAGATAAACACAAAACTCAACTGCATATTTGAAGAGAAACGTTAAAATTTCTGATGCTAGTCAAGAGAAAATAACAAGCTATACAATTTTTCTTTTCAAGTTTTTGCCAAAGTACAAAATTGGATAGAATAGGGCTGGTGGAACCCAAAACTTCACAGCCCTGCTATTAGTGCTCCCCATAGAGTTAAGGCTGCCCATCATAATTGAATGCTTGCTACAACTCAACCCGAGCAAAAATAAAATGAATAACTAACTACATCAAAAATAACAAAAAAGGGCAGAGGAAAAGACATCACTAATCAACATGGAAAAAGTAAGGGGCCTTACCCCATCCACTCCGATCAGCAGCATCACGACATTCTACTCTGAACTTTGATGAGTGACTATGAACTTGTCCAACAGTTTCTTTTTGTATCTCAGCCAATGAGGGGCTGATTTCCACTGAGCTACAATAAGCATAAAAATGCAGTTACATGATTGTAAAAGTGATACAGAAACCCTAATTTTTTATGAGTAACTAGGATTTAGCACTGGAATTCAATAAATGTCACTCATTCACAGATTTAACATTTCTCCAATGGTCTAATGTTTTATATTGAGGACTAATCAAGACAAATAAAGTCACACCTTGAGTTTTCAAAATGTACGTACATTTTGCTTGGAGCAAAAAGGGAAGGACAAAGAAGAAGGATAAGAAGGCAGAATGATTGGTTGGTTTCAGTTGTGATAAAAATCTTAAATGAACAGAAGTGAACCATCAGTTTAGCAGATATGAAAACAAAACTGAACCAAATAGTGCAAGAAATTGAACTGAACCATAAAATATAAAGTGAAAAGAAATGGATTGACTTGGGTCACCATTTTGAAGGACGAAACCATCTAACTCATGTTATGATATAGCGATCTGTCAAACTCAAATATTATGCACATGTAAATAAATACTCTATTCAAATTATTTGATTTTATAGTGTGTATATATATGACCAGAAATCAAAACCAAACTAAGTACAGTCTGCTTTTACCAAACTGATAATTTTGAACACTGAAGCGAAAACAAATAGTTTAGTTGAGTTTAGGTTTTGATTTAAATAACTCTCTTTCTATAGGAAGGTATAGTAAACCAAACAAAAATTGTTTTTCATATTAAGACATATGAGCAACTTTGAATGTGATAAACAAAGTAATAAAAATATAAGATTTGGGTTCAAATGGGTAAAAGGTTGAATTCATTTTTTACCCCTAACAGGTTTAGAAAAAATTGACAATCATGCTTAATCTCCATAAAGATGTCAAATGCCCACGAAATTTAAATGTTCAATGCATAATTCTCCAGGACCTCACAGGAGTCCCTAAAATACAAAACAAGGAAGAAGTAGAAGAAGAGAAAGGGATAATGAGGTGAACTTCAGAACATTATACAGTGAGACAAGTAAATAGTAGGCAAAACTATCAACAACAGGCATTTCTGGAGAGCATGAGCTCTTAAAGGGAGCGGCATTCTTAAAAGTTAAAAAGAAAGCAAACTTCTTGAATGTGGAGACTTATTCCCAGTGTTAGAATCCAACAAGTGCTCTTTCTAAGCGCAAGCTATGTGATATATATATATATATATATAGAATGACATCAGTTTCCAAGGAAGTCAAAAGATAAGTTAATGCACTTACATATAAGTCATATTATTGTAAACTCTTTCAGGTGCATTCAACTTTAAGTAATCCATTATGCCCTTTGCACAAGTTCCTGATCCACCACCAATTTCATATATCTGAGTGCACATTATAGAACAGCAGGAGCAATATTCAGAGACAATGAAATAAATGGAGATTTTTAAAGCATGGGGCATATAAAGGGGAAAATTTAACAGTATGATATGGCCAAACAAAATATAAGCAACTGAATTTATTAGTTCAAATTCTGGCATTAAAGCTGTATGTCCATACAAACAGCAAAATTCAGACAGAATATATAACTCAAAGTGTTAACTAACAACTAAGCTGTTCACACTTCACACCATTGGAGTTCAGCTAAAGTAGCATAGACTGAAGTCGAATTGGGAGACGTTATACATTATAAAATTACCAAGGCATGTCAAGAGCAGAGTATCATTACTGAAGAGAGTGTGAAGTCAAATAAGACAGTGAGAGCAAATAGAAGAATATTAATTAAGAGCTCTTGCAGCATACTTTAATCAATTCCAGCAATATAATAAAAAGTCCGACAGACAAGTCTAAGCAATAGCCATAGAAGCAAAATCTAAGCAATTGACATTAAAGTGCCAAATTAACTTATGGCGCTCACTACCAAAGCAATAGATGCATGGCTCACAATCTAAGCAATCGTATTATGGAGGAAATGACAAGTAGCGCAGCATAGATATTAACGCAAAATGGTATGGGGACTATATACAGCAATTACAATACTCAAGTAAAAGCTGGAACTAAAACCTAATCTTTGAATTTTATCTCTTACTTTGGTTTGTTAAAAGGAAAAACTACACTTCTAATGAATCTCAACATCTATAACATACTTCTTCATATTTTAATTCCTGGCGAAGGGCATAGACCCTCTTGATTAAGTAAAATATAGCCAATCATGAACAACTTTAATGCCTAGACTCTGATCAATTTCTAAATTATTTTACAGATTTTAAAAAGACCAAAGCAGTTAGAACATAACGCTCTCCTGGGCATTATATGAAATATGAAGAATAATAGATAAAAAAAAAAAAAGATCTTAATTGTCAGACTACAATATCAAAGCAACAAGAATTTAACAGGGTATGTGGCAATTCTAGATGACTTGCCTGCCAATAGATAAAGAAAGAGTACGTACTTTAAGAGGAACTGAAAGGTTAGCAGTACGCATTATAGCTCCAGCAATCCCATGGGCATACCAAGGCTACAAGAAAGTTCACAACAATAAAGAATTAGAAAGCAGAAACTTAGATGTTACTAAGCTGAAATGGATTTTTAGCACTGTTCCTACAAATGCAGCTTGGTTGAATAACTGAAAGCACAAGGGAAAAATGCATTCAATCGTGACCAATGTATTTAATGGCTAAAGAAAAGTAGAAGGCCAACAATGTATTCATGTTGTAGCTGATACAAGAAACACAAAGAGCTCCAAAGTCTTTCCAATCCAATTTTTATTTATGGTAACGTGGGCAAATGTTAAGGAAGGTCTTCTACTTTTCTTTTTTTTTTTTTTTTCCTCTTTTTACTAGAAATCAAGACCTTTGTTACCAAAAGTTTACAAAACGACAAAAAATTACGTGCTTTACGGCATTGATGGAATAATTTTTTGTCATTCATATAGACCTTTAGTGACAAAGGTCTTCCTTTGCATGTGCCTGAGGACAAAGTTAAATGGACCTATTTTATAATAAGACCCAAGTTGCGTAGCTAACTTGCTAAAAAGCTAAGAAAATCACCGGTCAAGATCATCCAAATTAAGCATTAAAAACTCCAGCACCTATTATGACAAACAAAAGGGGTAGACATGTTGACACAAGCAGGATATTAATATGAACGTTTCTTACTTCTTGAAAAGTGCTCATTAATTGTATATGATGGCACTTACCTCATTCTTGATAATAAGCAATCATAACACTAAAATCCTTAACTGTAAAAGCTTATTTGAGGGATTTTAATTTCTTTATTATGCGGAGAGAGAGAGATTACCTTGAAAAGCTCTACTGGAGTAAACCATGATATATCACTCTGCTTGTATATTTTATCCAAGTGTTTCATATAAGCTTTCCTGCCTAAAACATGCCCAAAGTTAGGAAAAGAATCTACATCAAACGAAATAGTAAATTGGAAATGATGTAAAAATGCTTCAGCAAGTACAAGACAAAGAATACTCTACAAATCCATGAATTCATGAGAAAATTTCATCAACTTTAAATTGAAACGGCTGACATGTAATCAATGGAATTCATTCAGAAAAGTGGCAAGCATATTAGCTACAGATCCAATTAACAAAAAAAATTATAAGTTAGATAACTCTCTGCAAGAAAAAAAACGATTCCTTCTGAAAAGACCTTGAACATTAATTTGGTGGACTCAATGACAAAAAGTATGTTGAAAATTTGCATGTCTACTCTAAGTGAATTTGATAGAACAATTAACTTATCATCTATAAAGAAATACAATTCCTCGCCCCAAGCAATGGCAGCTCATAGTGCAAAAGAACTGAACTTTAACCATCAAGCTAGAAAAAGCACCATTCACCAATTGAATTTTTTTTTTTTTTTTCAATCACTTTGTTTCGGCTGTACAATATATAACTAGGTAGTCAAAAGTGGATCCACAACACAATAATAATAAAATCTAGAAAATTTGACTCCCAATAAAAACAGTATTATTTAGGAAAAAGATGAGAAAATAGCTTAGTAAACTTTTGTAGTTACAATTTATACATACCATTTCGAAATCATATCGAACAGGGGAATGATAAAAGTTTAAATAAACATGTGACTCTTTAACTTAGATCAAATTTTGCACATGAATTTTTTTTTATAGTCAGTCTAGAATATAGCAAGCATGGCACTTTTTGAGCCTACACAAGTCAAATCACTTCCTTAAAAGCCAAAAAAAAGGAAAAAAAACATATGCGTACCAAAAAATTTTATTTATGTTGCATATGAAGGACGGATCTTAACCAGCTTCCTCATCTTGTCAACAGTTGATACCATCCATATGCATTCTTTGTAGTCTAACTCTTCACAAATAGTGACTCATCCACCTCAACATATTCATTTCATCTAGAATTATGTTCAAATATGTCATTTCTACACTAACATGGCATTCAATTTTTTTTCTTTTTATAGGAAACTAACATTGCAAATCAAATACCGCATCTAAGCTTATAACCTTCTCATCAACCTTAACATTAACTATACATAAACAATCCACAATCATCCAACACTAAGAAAGATTTGCCAATTTCACTCATTTATCCCAACTCTATCATGCATTTTTTTTCTTTTTTTCTTTTTTATTAACCTAGAAATCCCTTTAACCGGAATAGCAAACTAAGTTCAAAACTTGCAACACTACAATATTTGACAGGTAGGAAACTCAAGGCTTTTCTGCCACCTAATGGAATAGGCATTTTTCCATTAATACACAAAAGAAATGAACCCAGTTATGCTTACAAATGGCTAATAAAAATCATCAAATTTCCAACTTGAAACCCAGATGATAAATTACACAGTAAATAAAAAAATTAAAATTAAAATTAAAAAAATACCCTGAAGCTGATGGAACTTAATGCTGGTCTCAAGCACGCCAACCGACCTCGATCTCTGAGAGAAGTAGCCATGCGTAGGATCGTACAAAGCTGAATGTATGAAATCACGAACCTGCCCAATCCAATGAACCATAAAAACAAAATTAACTGCAAAAATTAGAAGCAAGAAAATGAAAAAGATGAAAATGAGAGACTCACAAGAAGGGGAGTGTCGCCAACAATGTGAGTGGAGAAGAGAGCTTGGAATTGAGGAGATAAGAGTTGAGATTGGTGAGTAACTGCAAAAATTAAGAAATGAAGAGTTCAAGAGTAAGAGAATATGAAAAGTACATAGAAATAAATGTAGAGAAAGGGATTATACTTGGTGTTATGGAAGTGGGTTTGTTGAAGAAGAGATGAAGCTTTTTGATGGGGAGAGTTCGAAACAACATTTGAACTGGAGATGAGAAACTATAAATCTATAATTGCCTTTCCGACTCTTAAACCCTTGCTGGGGTTTTAATAATTTTGTTTTCAAAAATAAAACATGAAAATTTATTTCTTATATATTTTATTAGATTTAAAAACTATTGTGAATTTAATAGCTTGAATAAAATAGTGATTAGTTAATATTTTAGCCTAATAATACAAATTGTATAATGAGAGATATTCTTAGAAAAAAAAGAAATATAAAGCATTTATTGTACATGTAACAAGTGTATTATATCTATAAAATATAAAATAATTGAAATGGAAACAACTCATAAATTGAGTGTCTCTTAATTAATTTTTGAGTCATCTAAATCTTTGTTATTTATTAAAAAATAAAATTATCCCAAATCAAATGTGGTAATTCACTATAATAATCAATATTTAGTTTGAGAGATTAAGTTTTTTTATCTTTGAAATTATATATTATATTTGCAACAGGGAGATATATTTTTTTGCCTTTTAGAATTGCAACATTATTATATATTTTTCAAGTGATGATATCCATAATAAACTATACATCACTTGAAATAGAGAGATTAAACCCTATTCCAATTGATGCCAATAGCAAGTCATAGCAAACTTTAGATGGCAACTACTTACAAACCCTAGACCAAAAATCAGAGATTGCATATGCTTTGTCTAAATGTTCACTCATTCCATAAACTAACAACCATATGCTTCCATTAAACATTATTTTTTTAGGGGTGATGGGTCCGAGTACCCTCAAATTCAAAGGACCGAACTGAACTAATCCGTCATCCTTAGATTTAAACTGGAACTTAAACATGGTTGATTTCTTTCCAAGATCCAGTTATTTTAATTATCCCTCTACTTTTTAAAAATGACAAATAACCCTCTAAAATTACAAATACACCTGCAATAGTTTAAAATAATTATAATTAGTCCATTTCGGTTCCGTTCCTGGTTCCTTAGGAGGAACAGAACCAAAATCGGAACTGGTCATTCTTGACTTAGAACCTTAAGCTCCTGAGCAGGGCAATTCTAGAAATTTTTGTTAGGTAGATCAAAATAAATAATTGCACATTAATATTTTTGTCCATATATATTCTAATTGGGTGTGGGGTCATGCCCACTTTCAATTAGAGTAGCATCCGCCACCTATGAGGCCTAGTTCCACCGTTCTTTTACACTCCCAAATTAATTTAATTGTTTAATATAACATTCAAGTTAGATAATTTACATTATGTCTACAATATCAATCTCAAAGTTCATCAATATGAAAGATTATCATATTATCCCAATCCTTGATATTATCCATTTCTTTGAATTTTTCTTCTGCTTAAACAAATAACCTAAAATAGACAACAAAACTGAGGATTAATGTCACATCCTACATCATGAGTGGATAGAGTCGAGATTTCAATTCAAAGCTTTGAGTAATCTTAATAAATAAACATTTTTTGGTGAATGAATTGCAGAACCCAAAAAGTGAACTTTTGTTCGAAGTGGAAAATATTTACTTGATTAGGCTCGAAACTGTTACAATTAAACTCTAAAAAATATTTGGTTACTATGAGGAACCCGATGATTGGAGAAATATCCCAAAAGGTTACATTAAGTAGAATTAAGCAATTAAAATATCTTTTATAATATGAATTATAATCATTCTATTATGCAATTAGAATTCTTTTGTGAGTCATTTAATTTCAAGTATAAGATTATATAATAGCTTAAATCAAAATCATTGGCTACGTTTGGTTGCATTTTGGGAATACAACTTTTAGTATTCCCAAAAAAGTTAAACAGTAAAATACAAAAAACTCACAATATTATTCAGCTTTTTTTAAACCTCTTAAATTTGTTAATTTAATTAAATACCCCTAAATATTTTTTAAAAAATTGCAAAAACACCCCAACAATCCACATTTACCAGATTTCGGCCACCACTGCCAGAAAATGGTCAGAATCTGATAGGATGGCGCACTATCGGCTGAATCTAGCCGATAGTGCGCCGATCTAGCCTTTTCTGACCAGATCTTTGGTCGTAACCAGTCGGTAACGACGGCCAACAAATGGTCGTCGTTGACCATCAACGACGACCATTTGTTGGCCGTCGTTGACGAGCAAATACGGCCAGATCCATAGTGGATTTGGCTGAAAAAGGCCATATCGGCGCATGACCGGCAAGATCCAACCGGTCATACGCCTATACGGCGACTCCGGCCACCCTCTAGCAGTGGTGGCCGGCTGTCCATATTTGAGGGTGGATTAGGGGTATTTTTGTTAACTTTTAATGTTTTATTATAGGGGGTATTTTATAAAAAAATAGACATAGAGGGTATTTTATTAATTTATAAATTTTACATCGTAATACCCGCCCAATTCAACTTTTTTCAAAAAACTTTTCTCAAAAACACAAAATTGTGAACCAAACGGAACCATTGTTATTAATAAATAATTTTGTTAATTAATTACTTTGCCTCTAACTCTGGGAGGTTTTTGTTTTCTCATATAAACAGATCTTACCCAACCCTATCAGTTACTGATTCCACCCTACGATCGAATCAACGTTAAAAGTTGACTATGATCTAGTAATGATTACCTGGCAAGTATCGTAGCAGATCCATATAAATAATTGATAGATAATGAAAGGTAAATTGGTGGGGTTGGGGTGAAATTTGAGGGATGGAATTGGGCCAAAGTGGTCCAGGCCCATTGGAAACTTTTGACTTGAGGAACGATGACAGTCATAACTCTTTCAATCAATCAATGTTAGCTTCAATTAAATAAATAAAATAACCCACTCACCTCCGATGTCTCATTATAGAGAGTGATGTTATGTTTGTTGGACGGGACCCTTGGACTATAAGCTTTTGGCATGCCAAAAAAGTGAACTTTTGTTCGTGGAATAGGCATTTTTCCATTAATACACAAAAGAAATGAACCCAGTTATGCTTACAAATGGCTAATAAAAATCATCAAATTTCCAACTTGAAACCCAGATGATAAATTACACAGTAAATAAAAAAAAATTAAAATTAAAAATTAAAAAAATACCCTGAAGCTGATGGAACTTAATGCTGGTCTCAAGCACGCCAACCGACCTCGATCTCTGAGAGAAGTAGCCATGCTTAGGATCGTACAAAGCTGAATGTATGAAATCACGAACCTGCCCAATCCAATGAACCATAAAAACAAAATTAATTGCAAAAATTAGAAGCAAGAAAATGAAAAAGATGAAAATGAGAGACTCACAAGAAGGGGAGTGTCGCCAACAATGTGAGTGGAGAAGAGAGCTTGGAATTGAGGAGATAAGAGTTGAGATTGGTGAGTAACTGCAAAAATTAAGAAATGAAGAGTTTAAGAGTAGGAGAATATGAAAAGTACATAGAAATAAATGTAGAGAAAGGGATTATACTTGGTGTTATGGAAGTGGGTTTGTTGAAGAAGAGATGAAGCTTTTTGGTGGGGAGAGTTCGAAACAACATTTGAACTGGAGATGAGAAACTATAAATCTATAATTGCCTTTCCGACTCTTAAACCCTTGCTGGGGTTTTAATAATTTTGTTTTCAAAAATAAAACATGAAAATTTATTTCTTATATATTTTATTAGATTTAAATTATAAGTAATGATTTTAAATAAAAACTATTGTGAATTTAATAGCTTGAATAAAATAGTGATTAGTTAATATTTTAGCCTAATAATACAAATTGTATAATGAGAGATATTCTTAGAAAAAAAAAAAATTATAAAGCATTTATTGCTACATGTAACAAGTGTATTTATATCTATAAAAACTAAATAATTGAAATGGAAACCAACTCATAAATTGAGTGTCTCTTAATTAATTTTTGAGTCATCTAAATCTTTGTTATTTTATTAAAAAATAAAATTATCCCAAATCAAATGTGGTAATTCACTATAATTAATCAATATTTAGTTTGAGAGATTAAGTTTTTTATCTTTGAAATTTATATATATAATTTGCAAGACAGGGAAGATAATAGTTTTTGCCTTTTAGAATTGCAACATTATTATTATATTTTTTCAAGTGATGTTATACATATAAACTATAAAATAAAGTGTTGTAATATCATTTTTTATTCTTTTAATTTTATTTATTAAATTAATTTTTATATCAATTTAATTAGTGTTACGCCACGTTTGTATTTACACATGAAATAGAAGGAGATTAAACCCTAATTTCCAATTGATGCCAATAGCCAAGTCATAGCAAACTTTAGATGGCAACTACTTAACAAACCCTAGACCAAAAATCAGAGATTGCATATGCTTTGTCTAAATGTTCACTCATTCCAATAAACTAACAACCATAATGCTTACATTAAACATTATTAATTTTAGGGGTGGATGGGTCCAGGTACCCGCTCAAATTCAAAGGAGCCGAAACTGTAACTAGATCCAGTCAATTCCTTAGATTTAGAGATGGGACTTGAAACATAGGTTTTGATTTCTGTTCCAGGTATCCAAGTTGATTTTAATTATCCCTCTACTTTTTAAAAGATGACAAATAAACCCTGTAAACATTACAAATACACTTGCAATAGTTTAAAAAAATTATAATTCAGTCCCAGTTTCGGTTCCGATTCCTGGTTCCTATAAGGATGGAACCAGAACCAAAATCGGAACTGGTCAATTCTTGACTTCTAGAACCTTAAGCTATCCTGTGAGCAGGGGCAGATCTAGAAATTTCTGTTAAGGTAGATCAAAATAAAAACTAATTGCACATTAATATTTTTGTCCATTAATAATTCTATTGGGGTGGGTCATGACCCACTTTCAATTAGAGTAGCATCCGTCCTAGCCTATGAGGGCCAGTTCCGACCGGTTCTTTTACACACCCCAAATTAATTTAATTGTTTTAATATAAACATTCAAGTTAGATTAATTTACATTAATGTCTACAAATATCAATCTCAAAGTTACCATCAATATGATAGATTATCATATCTATCCCCAATACCTTGATATTATCCATTTCTTTGAATTTTTCTTC